TGCACATAGTTACATTGTTTGTTGCTTGTATTTGTATTTCAAATACAACATATTTATCTACAATGGTGATAATTGAAAACCTGGTTTCATGGCATTGCCATGTTTCTTGTTTTGTATTTAGTTTGTAAATTATGGTTATTAAACATACCATTATTATACCCAGTAAAACCAGTGTAAAGCGGACATTTGCCTACTGGTGTTATAATCCTCCACTCAACCTTGGGATTGCGGGTCTAAGTGGCATTGTTTGAACTGAAGATAATACCAGTGGCTTATATGCTAATTAACATACCTTAAGTAATAGGTTAGGCTATATTCAGTGATGTGTCAAGAAGACAAAAAATACATATGTAGGTGAATACAAAATAAGAGAGGCTTGCAAGTATGGCATATAATGAAAGGAACAAATAAGGGCTCTAACTTGTGTCACCTCTAAGGAGTAGTATAGGGATCATTTCTCAATTGTCTGTCTGTCACAAAACTTGTCCAGACTACTCCTTATAAACTACTGGTGCAATTTCTTCCAAACTTTACAGGAATGATCAGTACTAAGTCTAGTTGTGCATATCGTCAGCAAATTTCAGTTCAATGCTTTTTGTCAGAATTAAGGCCCTTTAATAATTTTGATTGATCTGTAGCTGAAGTCCTTGCGCATATTGCACTGGTTTGTTGGTTGAATGATTTTTGGCCAAGTTATGGTCAGATGGTTTCCTGTTTCCAATTGTTAGTGCATGATTGAACGGGAAACCAGCTGCAATCGTGCCAATCGCAACTTTTTGGCCTTTTCCATCACTCTTCGGATTAATGATAATAGCCGATGTAGTTCTGATTGCAATCGTGACAATTCGGGCGATTCCGTCATACTGCGGAATCAGACGAAGTAATATTACGGAAATCTATGCTATTTTAGTTACTTCGGTAATCCTAGTTTGTTTATATAAATAGGATTTCTATTATTACATTTGTACTTGATTTATCGGTTTAAACCGTAATAAATTATAATCGAAATTGTTCCGTTTCAATTGTTTTTCAAGACGCAAAAGTTAGTTTCTTTTATAATTGTTTTTTGTCTGTATTAGTTTTATACAATAGAGAATGGTGACTGTAGTAGTATTCGGTCTTCAAAGGGTGGTCCTGCTTACCAAATCACACATGATCGAGTTATATTTAGATCTACTGAACGCAATTCAACTTCTTGGTGAGGTAATCTAAAAATAGCCCATGCATATCATTAACCTTGCCACGTGCTGATCTACAGATAGCGCATCGTATTTGTGATCTTGTAACATAGTTGATACATGCTTATAAATTGGTACCACGTAACGAAGTATTTTAGTGCATTTACTTGTCTATAAGCAAACGAATGATTTCTCTTTGAAAAAGGGGAAATGAAATGTGCACACTTGTTTCCCTTCAGTATGATAGATAGATATCCACGTTAGTATTTTTACGATTGATCATTTTCTTTATTAGCTTAACTTTTATACAATAGAGAATACATGTAGATTTCAAATCGTTTTGACAAAAAATATTCGTTTTTCCAAAAACAGAACCAACTAAATAAACCCAGTTTATGATATACAAATACCGTAATTCAAAAAAATTGTGATAATAAATTGAAACCAAAAAAAAAAACAATTTTAAAGGGTTGGGATGAAGGCACAACTGTGCAAGCCTTTCCTTTTAAAAGGAAACTTTATTTTGTGTATTGCCAGATACACAAAAGCTTGTCTGGACTACTCAAATACTACTAGTGCAATTTCATCAAAACTGAAATGATCAGTACTAAGTCTAGTTGTTAATGGTTTTTGTGTCTCCTGCTATGCAGTAGCTGCAACATGCAATTGGCCATCGTGAGGCTACACATGCCATCACTGATGGCCCTTGGTTAAAAGAAAACTCCAATGAGGTCCAAAAGTTTAAAAATTAAAATTCCTTACATAGATTTATATACAAAAGATAAAAAAAGAAATATACTCATAATTGGAAAATCCTATGTTTGTGCTACTGTTAGCCCAGTTTGAGTTAAAAGTGATAATACACATTTCAATTTTAACTCGATTTTTAAAAGTAAATAGAGGAATTGTTACTGTGAGTCAATAAATTGTTCCCATTACCTTTGCTATGATCTGCAAACTTAAACCTTGATCGTAACTTTTTAAGTTCATGGTGTATTGTCTTCATACACAGCAACAACAATCCATGGGACAAGACCTTCAAGTAGACCAAACTAATCTTGTGCTTCATTCATAATTGACCTTGACCTTCAAGGTCAAATATCTATATTTTGCATGATTTTTGCTAATCGTAGCTATAACTTTGTTATTTTGAATGTATTATCTTCAAACTTAAACCCAAAAATTTTCAAGGACAGACCAGTTCCAGATAACCAGACAGACCTTGACCTTCATTCATAAATGACCTTGACCTTGAAGTTCATATTGTTGATATTTTCTTTCTCTCTTTTTTGCTTTAACTGGCTATAACTTTGTTATTAATGAATGAATTGACTTCATATTAAGAAACAATATTCTTAATGGTCAGACCTTAATGTATATTAATGACCTTGACCTTGAAGGTTAAATTATTGAAATTTGCTATGATTGACTGTAACCTGGAATTAATAAATGGATTAGATCATTCTTGACAAAACAACCTTTTGGATAAAATCTTCAAAAATGTTGAGCTGATCTTGACCTTGAGCTTTAAATAACCTTGACTGTCAAGGTCAAATTATTGACTTTTGATTAAATTGTCATAATTTTGTATTTAATTGTACTGATTTGATTTTTACTTGGACAAAAGAAGACTAGCTACCAAGCAAACATACTGAATAACTTAGATGTAACCTTGATCTTTAATTGACCTTGACCATCAATGTCAAATTAATAAAATTCTGTTTTTTTGTTTATTTTCTGTAACTGGCTATAATCTTATTTGTAGATGGATTAACTTCATGATTAGGCACAATATCTTTTAGGTCAGGACCTTTGTGTATATCAAACTCTAAGTGACCTTGACTCATGTATGACCTTGACCTTGAAGGTCAAATTATTGATTTTTTACTGATTATTGCTATAATTGGCTGTAACATGGTAATTAATGTATTATCTTCATATCTGGACAAAACAATCTTTTGAACATAACCTTGTTAAATGTTGAACTGACCTTGAGCTTTAAATAACCTTGACCGTCAAGGTAAAATGATTGAATTTTCCTTAAGTCATCATAATTTTGTTATTTATCTAAGGATTATATTTATATGTGGATAAAACAACACTTGTGATCAAACAAACATGTTGAATAATTTACATATGAAATTGACCTTTAAATGACCTTGACTGTCAAATGATTGAATAACATTTATATTTTCTTAACTTTGTCATTTATTTATGGAAATTATTCATAGACAAGACAAGAAGTGTGACTTAGACAGGCCTATTAAAATAAAAAAGTAAAAACCTATTATTTCTTTTTTAAATTTCTTTTTAAAGATTTGTTTAAACCATTTATTTATTTGTTAAATAGAAAAAGAAAATATATTTGAGCATTGCATCTGCCTGACGCTGGCTCTTGTTCAGTCATTTTTACAATTTAAATAACTATTATGAGCGAATGATCTGAAGATTCAATGCAAATCATTGGTCCAAACCTACATCAAATGGTACATAAATCTTATAAAACACTTTTCCCCCAAGTCCTGTCATGTCAACAAATATAAGTGGAGTCCCTTTAAAAAGAACAGAGTTTTGACAAGACTGCATGCTGGCTATGAATTCAAATGATAATCTTTGATAGCGTAACCTATGGTAAAGTTTAGAATGAATCCTCTTCCAATTCAAATACCGTAGATTTGAAATAAAGTTTAATGGTTGTAAAAATAGTTCTTAAGTAATCAACAATAAATGATGTACAAAATTTATCATTCTTTTTAAGATAATAACATAATTTACTTAAGTAATAAAATTACATTTATATGTGGAACCGATTAACGTGAACTAAAATTATAATGTTAATTTAAACATGTTCTACTTGTAACTGAAATGATCACAAGTATATGGAATGATTACACGGTTTTGGAATTATACCAGGAATGATTCATTAAAATAATCTAAAACAAGTTTTTAACTTTTTATTTATAAACTTCTGTATTTCAAAACTCTCAGTGATATATCTACCTCGTTGAATCACCAGGTTTAAAATGATTCCATATCGTAGTTTGTCTTCATTTTATATCTTTCTATAAATAGGTCACTTAGTAATTTGCATACGAAATTGACCAAATATAGATGAGGTGAGTTTACACTAACGTATAATAGTATTTATATTTTACACACAATTTATAACCTTCTAAGTTTATATGAATAATTTTCTTACTTACATATATAATAATTGGTTGCGTTCATACTTAATTTTATCAGTATTATGAATCTTGATTACTGTTAGTAATTTGGTATAAATTTAATTAGTTTAACCATGCAGTGTCTTTCAAATAGAAATTTGAAAGCCCCTGGTTAAATTAACGGTATTGTTTTTACAGGCAGGTGGTTAAAATATTATAGAAGATGAAAGTGTTTAATGTTCTAAGTTATATTAGAATTCAATTTTTTTTACTTTCCTTTAAATGTTTAAAAAATCATTGATTTGTGCATTTTAAATCGTGACCTTTTCTAGATGTTAATATAACTTATTTTATGGCTCTATTTTAACAATCTGTAACATGACAAATTTACATTTGTGACATGTCAATACACACATTAAAGAAAAAAAGTAATGTGCAAAGCGGGTCCCTGTCTATCTCTGTTTTTTCGTCAAACATTCAAATTATACGTAGTTGTAAAGTGACCCAAAACTTCATTAGCTCTGTCAAACCATTATTGATTGAACAGTAGCTGAGATGCAACGGCGTTTCCCATTGGCTACGTAAAATTCCTCGCATACCAGCTCGTTGTTAGATATCTTCTGATTGGCTGAATTTCTCGTTCTAGACTACACGATACTTACTTTTAACATGTACATTGACTGGATGAATCATGGTGAATGGGTAGAGATGAATTAAATTTCTTTTATTTGTGATTCGCTTCATGGTTTTGATACATTACATAGACAGATAAGTAGTTAACCATTTGCTGTAAAGAACTGTCAACTGGCTGGATGTTTTAAGCGGCAATTTACCGCAATATTAAAATTTTGCGACGGCATTGCTGTCGAAATAAATTACAAACATGGATATTTTACCAAGTGGGAATATATTTCGAGAATTACAAGTAGTGCACGACACTGGCTACTTTTCTGCTCAAGCATCACTGGAGGACCGTTGGCAACAGGTAGGCCCAATTTCTACGATAACATTTGCAGGTGCTTGGACGCTGTGCTTTACGAACCGGCGGCTCTCTTTGATCTTTAAAATGATTGACAGGTCAGATCGTACTCTGCCATAGTTGTGTATTGAAATGTTATCTCGGTATGCAGCGGGCTGCATTTAAAGTTGTAAACTCACGGCAACTATTTGTTATCACTGATAATATCACACAGTGAAAAGATTAAATGTTGATAATCATTAATTAGTTGTCAGTAATTAACATAATAAGAATTACACATAAAATAGATTTACTCTATTTAAATTGATTGACATTTCCAGTAGTAGAATTACTTACATGTATCACTAAGAATTTGAGTTTACTCATGTATTGACAACAAAACAATTGAATAGAATTAAAGCTATTAAATGAGGTTCACTTTAAGTATATGTGCAGTGTTCACTTGTATTTATATACATTGTATACAACATGTAAGAGTATGACTTCTGAATTTAAGATTCTCTTTTGATCAGTTGCTTCTGTATAAAATAAAGTCATAAATTAGACTGGAGAACAAGTAAATAAAGTATGTGTGCAATTGTTTCTGTCCTTGATAGTATTTACTGCCATAATTAATTAGCTTTTTCAAGAAAATAAGCAATATATAGATATAAAATAATTTGAGCAATCCTTTAATGGAAAAATATTTCCTTTGCATAAGCATTTGAAATGGCCCAAATAAACAGACAAGACTGACACTTCGGGGTTTTCAAGTATACATGAAGGATATCCTGTCTCACTTACGTTCATTTAAAACATGTATATTAGGGATACTATATGACGATCATTCTGATTTGTTTGTTCACAAGTGTTTGTTTACACTGCACTGCTACAAATATTTAAAAATTTCCTGTATTTGTTGCTGATGATTTTATCATTATAACGTGGTTTATATAGGACCGTATAGGAACAAACAAATTAACTCCGTATAGGAACAAACAAATTAACCACATGTGTATTTTTTAATATGAATATATGCACAGTGATGCATTATTAATACAGAATAACTTGATATATTAATTATAGTAAATGGATTACTTTAATTAACATGATAATCAGATTTTTTTTACATTTTAAGTACATATTTTATCATGTTGAAAATCATCAGCGTGGAAACTTAATTTGAAAATTAAATTATTCAAAAATGAACATGTATGTAATGTTTTAAAGCAATTTAACATACCTCCATATGCAATTGCAAATATTTATGAAAATATGAGAGTTTAATAGTTAAAATTTTGTCAAGTGCTCAGACTTGATTTAAGCTGTGCTTATATACATGTAGGCAGTGAACACATGTATATGTTTATCCATAGAAATAACCTATCAAGTGTCAAAATTGTGAAATCATGGCAGTATGGCTAAGTGGCTAACACAATTCTTGCATCAAACTTGAGTATTACATTTAAATAAAGATTACCAGGTCACATCTAGGTTCAAACCCTAGTTTCTGCATTCTGTTACTACCTTGCTCATTACTTAATGTACTGGTTGGTTCCACGCTCAGATTCAAGAAGCTCATAATTTAGTTATTATAAGCTTCTACACAAAGTAAAATACCGGTAAATTCTGTATAAAAAGTAGTCAGTACTGACCATTAAAATCATCAATAAAATAGGAGATTTTAATTGATATTTTAATAATATAACGCCTTGTACAAATTATTTAATGCTAAGATATTTGAATACAATTAACACATAGTTGCTAGTACATGTATATCTTAAGCGAAATTGCTATAAATTTAAAATATTTTTCTTCTTTTTTCTTTTTATAAATACGTACACCCATGTACCAGTTATATCTTACTAATCTAGAGATGTGCAGCCCTAAGTGATTAAGTTTCTAAGCATTGCAATGACTTCCAACTATAGCTGTTAGTAAAGAACTCCAGTGTAGATTATATTTCACATTGATGTAATATTTCCTTTTTTAGTGGAAATGAATGGAAGCTTTTCAAACAATTAATCATTTGTATGTCGTCAAGCTATGGTTACCTGACAGTAACCCGGCAGTTACCCAGACAGGAAGGCATAGACAATGTGGACATCCTGCGGTGGTTAATTGTTACGCTAAAAACCGGGTGTCAGATTCACATGCAGGTCTACAATGTACCTGTCTGTGCAGCTATACTGAACTTTTATCGGCCCTATTTCTAAAAAAAACTAAATCACTTAAATATATAATTGTATGGATTGAAAAGATTTCACTGGCAATTTTTCTCTAGCTTTGTGTGCATAAATATTTGTTTAGTTTCTTGTTGCATTGGAATCAAATGATTTTATTAATTTAATTTAGTCTCTAAATTAATGATCTTTATCACAATGTACTGGCAGCTAGTACATGTTACATGTAGTTTCTATTCTACAAAGAGGATATAATTCATGATAATGTAATCAGCTAAAATGTGAATAAAAAGGTCGTCAAATTTCTACCTCAATTTCCTTATTTTTATGGAGTTTTTTTTTTAACTGACTTTGTCCGTATGACAACAGATTTTGTATTATCTGATACATATCACATTCTGAAGATTTCATAATAACCACAGGCTTTCGACGCATGATTTGCCATGCCAATATCGATGGTCAAATTATCATAAGATAATCACCCCTTGATCATCGAGAACAAAATTATTATTGAGCACCCGTTTACTATATTTTACATACGCCTGTGCTTACTTACAACAACATAACATTGTTCAAAATATTTTTTGTTCTGATCAAAGTGTCAGAATAGATCTATCAGATTCTCTATTTTTTTAATTTCTATTTTTTACGAGAACCATTCATGTTTTCCTTGTATTATAACAGAGGTTAATTGTTTCAAAGCTGCCATACATACCTACCTGATATTTATATGAATAATATAAGTCTAATATTGTTAAGAGAGCGATAGAGAAACACATTTATTTACCACATTCTACAGGTATAAGATGATAAAATGACTACAATACATATTGAATAAAGGGAGATAATTTTAAGTAAAACAGCTATATAGAGAATACATCGCAATCAGTTGCACTGTTTGCATAACATGTTTTATTTAGAAACAGTATTTGTATTATATCTTTCATGTAAATAATCATTAATAACATAAAATAAGACAATGTTTTCTAATTAGCAATTATTGATATCCAAATTATCATTTTACATCTATACACAAGTGTGAAACAGGTGGCATATGTAATCATATGAGCTTCATTTTATCATTAGGTTGGTTCTGTTTCACTGGCATTTTTGATATTTCACTTGATGAATCATAAAGAGTCATTAAACTGTTATCGGATAGCAACCTATTGTTGATGAATACAATTTTTCTTTTAATAATGTTGATTAGACTGACATTTAATTGGCATATTGGCTAATTTAATGTACTGGTTTTTTCTTACGTAATCATGTTAAAGACTCAGAAGGTCATGAGAATTAAAAGAACTTTAAACGTGAACTGATTTGACTCTTGGCAGTTTGGGGTTGTGTTTTGGTCCCGTGTTCATTTTCATGGGTCCACCTAATAAAGGGACTTGGAACTGTGTTTGAATTTGTACACTGGCATTAAAATGTTCTCTATGTTACGATATACAGTTCGTACATTGTAGATCTGAGCCTATAGTTAAAATATTATTTGTTATATATTATGTCATCTCTGAGGAACTCCACTGAGGTCCAAAAGATTCCAATTTCTTACATAGATCAGTTGAGGCACTTAAAACTTGAAGATATGCAAAAGATAATTGAGAATTATACTCAGAAATAATTAAAAATCATATTTTGTGCTCTGCTTAGCCGATTTTGAGTGAAAAGCATTACAAATAATTTAAGCTTTTCAGTTTTCGAGCTTTTCAATTTTAGTCTATTTTGGCATGTAGAATAATTTATCTGAAAAAAAAACACAGAAGGAGTGAAAGATCAGAAATTTTGCTGTTATTGGTCTTAAGTCCTATGTACATCAAATCATGTAAAAAAAAACCTCAGTGAGCCTCTGTATGGCCTGAAAATATGAGCGGGTGATATTAAACAGGAAGGGTTTGTGAAGAAATATATCATGTATTTAACATGCACTTGCATAATTACATTCATAAGATTTGTGAATTTTTCTTCCTCATACAATGTGACAATGTATGATAAAAAAATATCGCAGGGACGCCTAGGTTTGTTTACACTTGTAGAGTAGACTATATTACAGCAAATTGTTGACAATGTGAACACTAAGCCTGCTGGTGGGTTAACTAAATCTATACCCATGCAACCAGTTCATATGAAGATCAGCCAGGACATTATAATAACATGCTCAGGTCTTGGTCTGAACTGGGCCCCATGGTTAAAATCTGTTGTCACAAGCCGGCTATTATAAGTATTAATTAGAAAAGGATATAAATGATTTATATCAGTCAATCATGTTGTAATTATCTGTTAAAATTTATGCAATAATATGATTTTTTTTTCCCGTAATATTGTATTTTTCTCATTATTATACAATTTATGACCATTTTTTTTAAATATCAAGAAATTAAGTTAAATGTGATCAAGAATATATATTATATAATTTATTATAGCTATAGTATATATATAATGATATTATATTACAATGTAGTTTGTCCTAAATCGGAATCAGAGCCATTAATTTGTAATAAATGGAAATTGTGTATGAACTTGAACAATAAGCATAACTAGAAATGTATTCAAGGAAATTAGACTGAAAATGTAGGTCAGTTTCAGTAAAGTTCAATCAAGGTCACATATTTCTTGCTTTTTTGTGTATGCAAAGAATATGCAAATCTCAAGTGCTGCAGCATTTTGAAGATATTTGAATGAGCCATATGCCCTAGAAACTGAATTATGAACAGCGTCATAGTCTGCCGTGACTAACTGATATTTTGATATAATGCAATGCTGATGAAAACACTGATATTTGTGGCATGTTGTTTTTCTTTAAAATTTGTTTATTTTGAAAGAAAATTCTTAGAGTATTAC